GACTTCAGCAGGGATCGAACCTGCGAATTCGATGTTCAAAGTCAGAATTAGCAACAAGAGTTTACGGGATGTACATAGCTCAGTGGTTAACGTTTCTGACTTTGAACATCGAATTCGCAGGTTCGATCCCTGCTGAAGTCTAGAAAAAAAGAAGTCTGATGAGGAGATGTGGTGATCTCCGAAATAGTGCTATAACTTCTACCGCTTAGACTTTGTTGCTTTCTCAATTTTTCCTAATAAACAATCATGGTACAAAGCTCAATAAAAATACTACTCCTTTATTTTTTTTTATTCATTCATTTATAACTTCTATACTTTTATAATTTTGTTTTTAGTGAGTTTGACGTTTGTAATAAAACCAAGCTCTAAAAATAAAGATTACCTAATACTAAAATAAATAATGTGAAACATAATAAAATAATGTCAAATAAAATACAAAAAAAGATATATATAAAAATTAAGAATCACTTCGACTGAGAATGGAGCCTGGGTACTATGGAATTGTAGTCCGCAGTCCTCACCACTCGACTACCGCGTATGCCAAACTCGCCTGCTTTGTTGGCTTACTCGAGCAATAAACAAAAGCTGGCTGCTTTGGCCAGTGTTGTCATCGAAAATTCCCCTGACCGCATTAATTTTAAGGATTAGCTTCAGGACTTAATCCGTATCAACTGCCGTCTGTCTATGCTTCGGCCGAGTTTATTAAAGCACGCCAGTTGTTTCTCTTCTGTGTGAACCGAAGTCAATTGGAAATATCAGGTAAAGCCCGTGTATGATGGATGATTCTGCGTCTGATTTCGGGCTGATATTGTTATCAGTAATGGCATACGGCAGAAATTATACGCCCTTATATAAAATTTGACCTAAACAATTCAGATCTGTAGATCTTATTATCTTCTACAACCAGGGTTGCCACTTTGGTAAATTGTTACCAAAATTGGTAGAAAAAATTTGAGGTGGTAGAGAGGTACATTTTTTATCATTTTGGTAGATTTTTGTTGAAGTATTTTGTTTAAAAAACAATTAAAACTTTCAGAGCCCGCTTAATTTTTCGTAATTATCTTTATATTATAAATTTCTTTCCAGAAAATTAGTCTACTTTTACTGCACACTTTTTGTATACAAATGCACGATAAAGGGCGTGCTCGGTTTAAAATCCATTTTACTTGAATCCTGAGGAGCTTTTGAATGCCTAAATATATTTTAATGATTCTTTGAATAAAAGAAAACAATTAACTGGTAATGTACTATGATTGTTGACAAAAAAAATTCAAAAGTCAACCCCAATTTTTATCAATGGAAATTGTTAAATGAAAGAAGAAGACGGCAAAAGCCCGGCGGCCAAAAAAATTAAAAAATTAACAGGAATTTTTTGCAGTATATTGTTGGTTAAACTAAAATTCCATGGGCTATAAATATCCATACCTTAAGTTTTTCTAAAAGTTCCGATAAAAGGTTCGAAATTTAGGCGAACATTTTTTTTTTTTTTGTTAATTTTTCCGAGTGTTGTTGGCGCAAACAATATTTGTATGCAAAAAAAAAAATAAAAATACCAAAAAATGTGTAATTAAAAAACATTATGAATATTAAAAAAATCACCAAGCGCTTTTTTGAGTCACTGTATTTGTCTACAATAATTCCATTTGAAGCTTTTTCAAATAATGAAGTTTCGTTGTCGCCTTTAATTTCATCACTTTTGCTTTTGGTTGAAGGAAACCGTGAAGATGCCATTAATATAATCTCAAACACAATATCATTATTTAAATAAAAAGTTCTTTAAAAACAATTTTAATTTTTATTGGAATAACTAATATTTTCTAGATTTTGTAGATTTTTTTCAAGTGGATGGTAAGTATTTTTTTCGTCAGAGGCAAACCTGTCCTCAACTTCAGATTAAAGAAACGACAGGTATTCGGCCTTTCGGAAACCGCGTTAGTTATCAAGTGGATCAGAGAGGTGCTTCCCAATTCATATGGGGCTGTTGGTATTGCTCAACATATGAATGGTCGCCTCAAATAACGTTGTAAGCGACAAAATTATAATTTTACAAAATAGAAAAAAAAACTTGTTTACTGACGCACAAACGGGGATTTGATTGGGTTTTCTATTTTTTCGGTATAGCATTCTTCAAGATTCTTGCCTTAACAAAAAAAATATATACACATTAATATCTTTAAAATCAAGAAAACTAGCTTTGAACAAATTGTCGCTTACAACGTTATTTGAGGCGACCATTCATATGAACAATTCCTTTCGAAAGTGGTTTTGAAATCGGCAAATAGATGATAAATGTTGATGCTGATGCTTCCAAGCAAGTGTGTCAATTCTGCAAATAATATAGACGTAAATTTACCTCTATCAGTAGTTATTTCTAACGGCACACCAAAACGAGATATATATTCATTTAAAAACTTATTTGCGATAGCCCTTGCAGAAATGTCCCTTAACCCGTACGCCTGCGGCCAACGAGTAAACCGATCAATTATTGTTAGAATGCAGCGATGTCCTATCGAAACAGGTAAAGGTCCTACGATATCTATATGAATATGTTGAAATCTTTTTTGAGGAATCGGAATTTTGCTAACTTGAGTTTTTGTATGACGATACACTTAAATTTTTGACAACTAATGCATTCTTTTGACCAGATATTAATTTCTTTATTCGCCTTAGTACCAGGATGCGCTATCCCATGTCAAATATTAAATACCGTTTTCCGCAAACTATTTGGAACGAAAGGTCTAGGATTTTCTCCTGACACTTCACACCAAATATGAAAATTTAAAAGGGGAATTTCAGTAAATTTAAGATTTTGAAATACTTTTCCAGAAGTAAGTTTACCAAGCTCATCGTCCTTTTGCCGTTCTCTTTGTAAAATTTTTAAATTAATTTCTGAATTTCTAATTGCATCTACGTACTTCGAAAGCTCGAGATAAAGTGTCAGCTACCACATTTCCTTGTCCTTTAACGAACTGTACGTCATTAGTGAATTGTGCAATGAATTCCATATGTCTTGTTTGTATTGGACTACGTTCAGTTTCAGAATTTAGAGCAAACATTAAAGGCTTGTGATCTGTGAAAACTGTAAATTGCCGTCCTTCTAAAAGATAACGAAAATGTTTTATATATTTAAGTAAATTGCCAATAATGCTCGGTCAAAAGTACTATATTTAATTTCTGTTGAAGAAAGTTTTTTTGAAAAGAAAGCAAGTGGTTCAGACTTGTTATCAAAATGCTGCTGTATGATAACTCCACTTGCCGTATTAGATGTATCTACCATTAAAGATAATTTTGCATCTTTGTTAAAATGATTTAACAAAACCTTAGATGAAAATTTCTCCTTAATACATTCAAAAGCTTTAATCGACTTGTCATCCCAAACTAGAATCTTGTCTTCGTTTTTGACATGTTCTAATAATCAAATCATAAATAACACCAGTATACTCTGCAAATTTTGAAATATATCTAAGATAGTAGCTAACCATCCCTATAAATTTTTGTGCCTGCTTAATTGACTAAACGTTGAAAAAGCACATGAAGATCCTTAATATGCTGTTCTTCATTTTCACTTGCAATAAGAAGATCACCAATATACGCAAAGACAAATTCGAAATTGTTAACTACTTCATTGATGAACCTTTGAAACATTTGCGCCGAATTTCTAAATCCGAAAGGCATTCGGATGAACTCAAACATGCGAAAGGAGTAGTAATCGCTGTTTTATAAATATCTTCTTCTGCCATGGGAATTTGATGGTACGCTCTAACTAAATCTAATTTTGAAAATATTTTCTTGTTTCTAAGATTCATATTAAAATCATGAATATGAGGCAAGGGGTAACGATCCGATACAGTCACAATATTAAGTCTTCTAAAATCACCGCAAGGACGCCAATCATTAGGTTCTTTCTTTGGTACTAAATGAAGTGGAGACGCTACCGAGGAATTTGAAGGTCTACAAATTGCTGATTTAATTGAAAAATCAAACTCACGTTTAGCAACTTGATACTTTATGGGATCTAAGCGCCTTGGCTTAGAAAATGGAAGGTTTCCTACTGTATCAAGTCGATGTACCGTTAAATGCCTAACAGGTTTGGAATAATCTGGTTCTACAATAAGGGATGGAAATTCTTTTAACAGTTTTGTATATTTATTATCAACAGCAAAAATTTTTGAAAGAGGAACCGAACAAAAGAAGGAAATCGCATTAACTGAAAGATTAGTAAGCGGATCTACTAATCGTTTGTGTCTAATATCAATTAAAATACCGAATTTGCAAAAAAATCTGCACCTATAATAGGTTTCGCAATATCAGCTATTAAAAATGTGAATGAGAATTCCCCTCTTAATCTTAAATTGACATTTAAAAGCTTTTTTCCGAAGGTTGAAATTATTGAACCGTTAGCTGCCGTTAAAACAATATCGGCAGATTTTTTTGTACATCGAAATTTAGAAACCGGAAGTACTGAAATCTCAGCACTATCAATTAAAAAATTTAAATTGTTCTGTTATCAAAAATAAAGAGGCAACGTGTAGAAAACTGTATATTTCCATTGTTCGTCGCCGCAACAACAGATCATTTTAGTTTAACGAATCCTTATTTTTTGAAAACGTACAAGGTTGTTCACATTTCTTTGCGTTGTTACCGAATTTGTAATGATACCTACTTAACCAATTTGGATTATCAAATGATTTCGAACGCGCTCTAAAGCACTTCTAAAACGATTTCTATTAGTCGAACGCGACCTAAAACTATTTTGATGAATATTCTTTTTAATTTCACTTAACTTCATAGAAAGTTTTTGAAAATTTTCAC